AAAAAAAGACAAATACGATAATGTCAGGCACCAGACAGTCACTACAGTCCTAGAAAGTGTTGAATAGGACAGAACACAGAAGCAAGTCTCCTGAGTGATGTGCTATGCGAGTATTAATGAGTAAATGTATAGATCCAGCCGCAAAGTGAAGCCATTCAGAGGCAGCTGTGAACTGGACGTTTGGTGTTAGCGTTTCTGTAATGATTACAGAACGTCAATTGCTATGAATGGGAACCCTACTCTCTGCAGGAAGCAAAGCCTTCTGGGAAGGAGGAAGGGTGAATGTCCACAAGTGGGAGAAGTCCATAAACAGAGTCGAGTCTGAAGCAAGAAACCTAGGAAGATCCACAGCCGCATGTTCACTTGGTAGGGTCAGGGTTGCCTTCCCTGTGGTCCTATAGCTAGAGTTTTCCTGCCTTGCCCACAGTCAGGACAAATCTCTGTCACCCACCAGTCCCACAGCCGCTCAGACCCAACCAAGTAAACACAGAGACTTATATTGCTTACAAACTGTATGGCCGTGGCAGGCTTCTTGTTAACTGTTCTTATATCTTAAAGTAACGCATTTCTACAAATCTATACCTTGCCACGTGGCTCGTGGCTCACCAGCATCTTCACATGCTGCTTGTCCTGGCAGTGACTGGCAGCCTCTCCTTCTGCCTTCCTGTTCTTTTATTTCTCCTCTGTTAGTCCCGCCTATACTTCCTGCCTAGCCACGACCAATCAGGTTTTATTTATTGACCAATCAGAGCAACTTGACATACAGACCATCCCCCAGTACAGCCAAGTGCAGACCATCTCAGACACCTGCACTCAGGCCCATGGTCCTAATTGTCCTCTATGCAAACCTGCTGGGTAACGCCACAAGGAACCCAAGAAGGGCTCCCACAGGACATACATTAACATCACACAGCATGGTCCTGCTCGAGAAACTGAATCAGCTGATTCTGTACTTTCCTTCCCCGTGGGCCAAACACAGAGGATTCACCACTCTGACTCCTGAGACCTTACTGTCCATTTTTTAAAAAAAGTCTCTTCTGGGCTTGCTTTTACTTTGGACCTGTTCTCAGTCCCCTGCCGACCGTGGCACAGCCTGTCTGGCAACGTGCGCTGATTGGCCAGCTCCTGAGTAAAGATGCTAAATGTACGTGAAGAATCGGGGGTGCAGTGGAGGGGGCGGCTAGTGTTTGCTCCTGCCGTCAATTAATAGGGTACCTCAGATAGCCTCCGGAGCCTCCGTTTCCTCCTACGCACAACGAAGAAGTGGATCTTTGCAGACGCTGACCTTCCGTTATAGAAGAAAACTAAGGCTGAGAGGCCAGCAGGTGAAGAGGGAACTGAGCTCCCTCAAAGCAATGAGTTCACTTGGCTCCATCCTCTCTTCTTTGTATGTAGTGATGACCGAGGAGCTTGCGTGGCTCATCCAGGCTTCAGCTAACGGACTCCTCTGTTTGCGGGGGCTTGGATATACCACTGGTTAACGATGCGTTCATCTATTTCTTACCTCATTTTCCAAAGTGTTTGGCACAAAGCGCAGCCCTGTTACCTGCCGCTTGCAGCAGCTCTGAGACAGCCTGATTCTGTCTCCTGGAACAGTGTGCTTTGGGCTCCTGTTGCTGCCCAGCATTGCATCCCCTGTCCGAGCCCAGGGGAGGGCTGAGTGCACCGGCCTGCCTATGGCTCCTAAGCTCTGCTTTAACCCTTTGATGTGCCGAGACAAGAGTCCACAGCAGCCATAAATCATCTTGATAGTGAGGGATGGAACCTGCTTCCCCAGAACAAGGCCCGATGATGCCTTTGTATTGCCTTAATCACTGGCTGTCTGCATTCCACACCCGACACAGGACCGGTCTAGCATCGCATCCATTATCATTCAGCCCCTCTTGCCTCCTTCTCCATTCTCAGCGTCTCCTTACCCATCAATCAGTCAAAAAGAATCATATGGGAAAGACGTCTTTTCAAACAAAACTGTTTCTTTGTCTTTCTCCGGGTTAACCCGCAAACTGGAAATATCCATCAATACTTTATAAAGTCATTTATTTTGAGCTGCAGCCTGGGTTCTCAAAGGGCTTCCCCAGGATTGCCTCATATATCTTTATCCAAGAACATCATTATTGTCTCAATGACAGAAAAATGAAGGCATGAAATTGTTAAGCGTCCCAAAGTCTCGTGTTGAAAGATACCCCTAAGTACTTAAACATACTCTGTACCCAGAGGTCAAGGAGATGAAGGAGAGATTGGCTGAGTGTCAGACCCACCTGTCCCTTCCACTGTGGCCTCGCTGTCCTTCTCTGGTCACTCACAGCTCCCTGGAAGTCTGCTGCCTCTCGAGGATTCCTAATCACACTGGGTGTTTCCTCCTCACCGCCTAGCTTCTGTCCTCTTCCCTGTTACCTCCTAATCCCACCTCCACCATCTCTCCGTGCCCCCCCCTTTCCCTTTTGGCTATGGTTGCTTGTAGTAAACCTTTTATTTCTTTCCTGTGCACGCTCACATGAATCTTCTAATTAGTTTTGACTGCTCCCGGCCAATCTTAACTCCTGGAGTGATACTTCTAAGATGTAAATCTGAGCATGGGATTCTTCTTCTAGATGTATAAAAGATGTGATTTTAACCATCTACTGGAGTCGCCTTAGTAATATACATACAGACATTGTCATTTTGAATAACCTTTCCTCTTGTTTTTATACCTACGATGTTAGACTACTCCCACCCAACTCCACCTCCGTAGTCTGAGGCCTAACTGCATGAAGGGCACCATCTGGGCCCTGGGGCATCGCTCTACTGGGGCCACCATCCATATTGCTCGGGCTGTTGTCATTGACTTGGGATTTCTTGTGCATTTCTAGGCTGCAATAGGAACTGGGAAGTGACTCCCCATGTGGTGTTAGGCTCTGTCTTAGGTGCCAAGCTTGGGTTTAACCTTTGAGGAATCACAACAATAACCTCCCCTCCATTCCCCTCCCCTCCCCTCCCCTCCCCTCTTCTATGTCCAGAGGGGCCAGAGCAGGGATGCATTCTATCAGGTTCCCATGCAACCACTTCTCTCTTATTTCTCATTCTGTGGCTAGTGGGAATCGGAATTAAATCTCACTTCACTTAGGATGGCTTCTTCTCAGTTGTCCTTGGCCCCTCTATGTGAGGCATTCTTCTGGCATTACACATTTCATGCACAATAATAATCTAAATCATTTAGAAGATATACTGTAATTATTGGACATATTTCATGGCCACATGTATTAAATATTTTGCTCATTGAAGTTGCTTTAAAAATGTTAAAGTCATATCAAATTGCATTGGCAATTGCATTTCTAGAATATGCTGGTATTTATCATATCATAGTGGGTTATAAATTATATTTACAAATAAATTAATGAAATAATAAGATGATTATTATAACATGATGACCCTGGAATGGGGGTGCCAGGTCTTAAGTCTTGATTTCTGGGCACTGGGTGGGTAGATGAAAGGGGGTGCCACCAAATGAGATACTGAAAAGAGAAAAGTAATGGATTGGAGGAAATTACCTAGCATTTAGATGGGAGTATTATGATAGTCATTAAAACCCATTCCTAAATATGCTCAGTCCCTCCTCCTGGGCAGATGGAAGATACATTTTCTAATTCATTTATGGATGAGTGAGGCCATATAATTAGTTCTGGGCAATGTGGTTTTTAAAAAATGTCACTCACTGCCAGTGTGGGACCCTCAGAACTCTCTTCTCTTCTGCCTCAGTAACTGGCAATGACTTCCATGGTGACCACTCTGTCAGCCTCGTTCCCCGGTGAAGAGCACATTAAGTAGATCCCTCAGCCAACTCATGATGGGGACATGTGACGTGTTCAGTGTGGTGTGACACACTGAACCACATGCAGGCTAGTATGCACCTCTTCCCACAGAGCATTGTGCATACTCATGGATTGTGCTGTCCAGGCTTCCAACTGAGTAAACCCTTTATCAGCCAAAGATTCTTCTTAAACCCTGAGCAGAAAGAAAGGGGTGACAGCACTCCACTGCTGAGCTACACCCAAGCTTTTTATGATAATCTTGAAATGATATTTATTTAATATCCCCCCAAAAGCACAGAACAGTACTGAGTGCAGTATATTTAAAAGTGTCTATTTAGACTTATTTTTACTGTAACTTTAAATTAATTTGAAGGATTTTTTTCTAATGGTGACAATTGAAGTCCCAGAACTCACTTTTGCTTTTAATCCTTTGAATATACTTCCATTCAATTATATTGTTCTAACTAGACATTAAGCAAGGGACCTGTCACCTCCGAGGAAGAGTGGTACTTAGCTGGCATTGGCGTCTTCTACCTCGCTCTAGCTCGGCACAGGATAGATAAGGCAGAAGCTGCCATGCAGCACAAGGTGATGAGAAGCCACAATCAGGACAGAGCAGCTCTACCTCGCTCCAGCTCAGCACAGGATAGGGTTTTGGGCAGAAGCTGCCATGCAGCACAGAGAGACAAGAAGCCACAATCAGGACAGAGCAGCTGTGAAACTGTCGCGGCTACTTGTCAAATCCTTAACTTCCTTATAACTCAAGAGCTGTCTTCATCGTGAGGACCTTGAGGGAATTTCTAGCAACTACCACAGGCCCTGGTGAGCCCCGATTTCAGACTTATGAAGCTGCACGGGAGCCGGGAAAGGGACATGATTACACAGCACTGCAGGGAGATACGAGGCTCTAAGATGTCACATAGTGAGGGTAACGCAAAGCTACCGAAATAAACAATATTTTCTTACCCAACTTAAATGTTCCCTCTATTCTGAAGGCACCTGAGGTAGAATTTGCAAATACCAACTCAATTTCAAAACTCTAAATTTTTTCTAAAGACTTTGCCACTGTGAAGGTCATTTAGGTGCCACTGTGAAGGTCATCCCCAATTTGCTGGGGCATCGTGCCCTGTTGTTTGGCTCAGTACAGTTCTAGATCTTTTCACGAAGGTATTATTTACTTTTGACTGATACTTAAATTTTCCTATTGAAAAGTTGTCTACTTTGCACCAACTGAGAAGACTCATCCAATCCGTGAGAGTCCCTAAGCGAAAGGAATGAGGCCCTTCAAGGAGGAAGAGAGTCCATCTGCAGCCGGTCTTGAAATTACCATTAAAATAAATTCTTGATGAAATTTCCAGCCTGTTTACCTACCCTACAGCTTGATCACTTGCCACGCTCCACAATCACATGGCCCTTCTGTAAGGTAAGTCTTTTGATATATGATTGATAGGTAGATAAAAGATAGATGATAGATGATAGATGATAGATAGATAGATAGATAGATAGATAGATAGATAGATAGATAGATAGATAGATAGATATTAGGTAGATGATAAATGATAGATGATAGACAGGTAGATAGGTGATAGGTTGATGATAGACAAGCAATATATACATAGGTAGATGATGATAGATAGATAGATAGATAGATAGATAGATAGATAGATAGATAGATAGTAGATAGATGAGAGAGAGGGGGAGAAAGAGAGAGCGCATGTGAGAGAGAGAGAGCACATCTTGTTGACTCTCTTTCTCTCTGGAAACCCCAGCTAACACAGCCCCCAATATGTTAAGAGACAGGCAGAATTTAAAAGCTATCCGATTGCTCATGGCTCTCTTGAATCTTTTTTTATCTTCCTTGTTTCCCCCTCTCTTGGCACTGACTGGGGAATGAGAGACTTCTGTCCTCCAAAGCCCTACCCCAGGCCCCTTAAGAATGATGGGACAAACAGCAGCTCTCCGGTGGTTAGCAGGAAAGTAGGTTTATCTTAGCAGCACGTTCTGAAGTGGAAAGACAGCAGGAAGTTGCCTCGTGGTGGGGTGCTTTTCTATGAACTTTACATACCCAACTGGCGTGGTCCTGAGGAATGAGGTAAGCAGTATAGTCACCTGGGGATGGAAGGCTTAACCCTCCTGTTCCCGTTAGAGGTCCTGGGATACTCTGGAGAGACTGTCTGCATACATGGCCTGGGGCTCCTCTCCTCTTCTTCCCTTCCCCCTCCCCCATCTCTCTCCACTCATACTTTCCGACCCATCCCTTCCTCTGGTCCCTTCTCTTCCCTCCCTCCTTCCCTCCCTCCCTCCCTCCCTCCTTCCCTGACTTATCCCTCCCTTTGAGACAGCGGCTCACTAAGTAACCTAGGTTGGCCTTGAATTCACATTTCTCTGGTCTCAGTTTTCTATACGTTAGGTGTACAGGTGTGTGTCTTCACCACTATGCCTGGCTAAATTTCTCTTTTTAGACAGAGAAACTTCTATAATTTTTTTCTTGGAACTGTCTCAGCACCACATTACACCTAAAATTCTTTAAAAACAAACAAACCCTCTCACATTGTATTTGGAAATTTGCACAAGTGAACTTAAGCTGTATATGGTCAATTTGTTCAAACAAATACTTATTTAAAGATTTTAAAGCAATACTCTTTATAAATGAACAATATTTTCATGGCATCAAACCAAGGAGTTTTTTTTTTTTTTTTTTTTTTAATAAGCCATGATAAAGAAGGTCCTTAGGAGTGAGTGTTTCTCCTTTGCAAAAGCCTCATTATTATAATATACTAACATCTTAACTCGAGCAAAAACTGTTGGAACCCAACCCACTGGTTTTCCATTTTTAATCAAGTATTTGGTAGGCAGCGTCTGTGAGTTCTGCCAGGCTGCAAAACTGACTTTCCCTAAGTCTCAGATTGCGGACTGTTACTTATATCAAAGACTGTTTGTAGCACGCTTGTGGAGCTGGTCTATCATCTGTCTATTTGCAGAGGTCTTCCATCAGCACCCTCTCCCAGGAGACCACCTGGGTCAATGCCCTCTCTTAGCCCAGCTGAAAACCGAGGAAGAATAAGAAGAGCAGAAAAGTCATTTCCTGTGGAGAAGGAGCTTTCTCTCCGCAGTACTCCACGGATGTCAGAATGACTGATAGATGCTAAACCCCAATCACTAAGTCAATTTACCTCCAATTGGGAAGCAGCTAGCCGTCTGGATTAGAGGATTTACCTCCAGAGAGCGATCTTATTCCTTGATCCATCTTAACTTTGTGATCTACAGACACAGCTCACAAACACCCACAGTGATTGCTGGAATTTCACCAGCAAGAGAGAAAAAGAAGGTCAAGTGCCCTTTCACGCAGAACCATCAGAAAGCATAGTATACCATTTTGTCTAGTCTGAAGTTTTGGTTCCAACCAATATACTGACCTTCAGTGCATAGACTGGAGTCATATTGAATGTATCTGTTTTCTCTGAAGTACCTATTTCTCAATAATTTTTAGTCTTAAGCTATTTTACTCCCTTTAAAATATTTTCCATCTGTGTGAACTTTTAAAAAATTACTTATTTTTAATCATATGTGTGCATGCGTGAGTATATGTATGTGCACCATATATATGCAAGAGCCTGAAGAGGCCAGCAAAAGGCATTGGGTCGCCTGGAACTATAATTATAGACAGCTGTGAGCCAACATGTGGGGGCTGGGACTTGAATCCACTGTTCTTTGCAAGAGCAGTTAAATACTCTTAACCATGGAGCCAGCTCTCCAGCTTCTGCACAAACATTTTATTTGAGAATAAGCCATATCTTACTTAGAATTGTTTGTTAAATATGTCATGTGGCTGCTTAGTAGGAGAAGCATAACAGACTGGCAGTCTGGATGCTTACCATGCAGAAAAAGCAGACAGCTCATGTTTCTGTAGCCAGGCACTATTAGGGTCATTTATTACATAGGCTTTAACATTGGATTTTCATTATTCTGGTTCAGAAGGTAAAGTTAGTCTTAATGAAAGGTGGTCAATCCTTGTCACCAAATAATTGCCTAAACCCTTGCATCATCCGAGGTCCTCAGAGAAGCAGGTCTCATACTTCAGAGATTCGCAGCAAGGACTTGACGTGTATGGTGAGGGCTAGGCAAATCCAAAACCCAAGGCCCACAGGCAGGCAGTGAGCAGGGGCCAGTGGGAAACCTCAGGCAGAGAGGAGCCCCTGAACTGCTTCTTCAGGGAAGCCTTGAGTGTGCCCCTGAATCCATTCACCTGATCGTGTGCAGCTCACTTACATTATTCCGGATAACTTCGAATTCCAAGGTCTGCTCATTATAAACTTCTCCCTGCAACCATTGTTCTTCCTGGCCAGATAACATTGCCAGAGTGCCAGCAGGTTTCAGAACTGTGACTCTGCCTCCTACCTGGCTAGGTTTTCTTTCTGAGACAGAACCTTTGCGTGCACCTTCTGCCCCTGGCAGATTCTCAAGTTGTCCCTAGGAAGGTCTCTACCCTTGTTTTCTTACCATGACCCTACTGAGGACCACAGAGAATTCAACACTGTGGTGCAGCTCTTGTAGATAATGAAATTTGTTAGCTTTTTCTCCACCCAGCCTCACTGTGCACAAATGATTACCCTAAGGAATTATTTTTAAATTGTTACCTAGTTTTGGAAGAAAACAACATTCCAGAAAAAATGGATTGAACATAAGTATAGGATTAAAAAATATGCATTGGAATTGGGGGGTATTAGCAATATTTATTTTGACCATGTGAGTTGTAGACCCTTTCACTGAAATTTCAAAATAATAATTTTCTAAAAGTTATTATTAAAAATCATTATATAAAACAAGAGACATTTTTAAGAGGCCAAAAAACTACTTCTACTTCATAAAAAGTGCAGTTTGTAATCTTAAAAGAAACAAGTGATACTCTAATTTAATTAAAGATTTGACAGACATATTATGTTTCCTCTTCAATATTGTTAATTGGGTTTTTTCCTGATAATTCAGAAGAATTTTTTTTCTCCAGAGGTTTAAACTATTTCTCAAGCTTCATATCTGAAATTATTAATCTTCTTTTAAAGGCCAAACCAGTTATATATAATTCATTTTCTCATTTCTAAAGCAAGGAAATGACTTTTGATTTCTAAGGAGTATGTAGAAACACAGTAAGCATGAAACAGACTCCAAGTATCCAGGCCCATCCTGAATTTTTTTTAATCTCCCATCAAACCCCCCTTACTTTACTCATGAGGAAATGAGGCAAAGGTAGCTTTTTATTTAGGGCAGAGCTGGAGTGTGGATATCTTCAGTTACCAACTGAATGTTCTAGAATGCACTATCCAGAGTCACCACAGACTCTACAGGCTAAAGGCTCAATTCCAGAAAGCTTCCTTCTGTTCAATCCAGCCATTCCCACCTGGTTCAATTGTCTGCTAGAAAAATTCACTTAACTGAAAAAAAGGAAAAACAAAAACTCAACAGTTTGCATTCAGTTATCAATGTATTTTGAAGACTACAGCTCAAGACCAGCCAAATGGAAGACATGCAGAAGCCAAGGGATGGGAGAAGAGTCCAGACCTCCACACTGTCCCCAGGAATGTCCTCCATGTGTTCACTGACCTGGAAACTCTCAGAGCAAGTTAGGTTCTTGATTTTGTGGAGATTGCACTATCTATCACTCAGGGAGGCAGAGGCAGGCAGATCTCTGTGAGTTCGAGGCCAGCCTGGTCTACATAGTGAGCTCCAGGACAGCCAGAGGTACACAGTGAGGCCTTGTCTCAACCCCACCCCCCCACCCCCAGCCCCCACCCCCAAAGTTACAATCTTTTAATCATGACTTAGTCTTGCTGGCCAGAGGCTTATGTCCTGAAGGAGATTCCCTAATTACATCATGATGGTATAAAAGACACAGCCTTAGAATTGCAAAAATCCCAAGAATTTTAGGAACTGGGAGTCAAGGAGGGAAATTGTATTTCTTCCTACACAATATTAGACGCATGTATTTAATTTTGGTGAGTTATTGGGCAGCGCTGCCACATGTCCCGCAACCCTGTGCAGAAGGACAGGGTTGCCCTGGGAGCCATTTTCCCATTGTCTTTACAGGCAGTCCTTGTCATTAGTGGATCTTTCTCTCTAATCACTTCATCGGTCGGGGCTGACGCTTGGTGAAAAACACTCTTTCTTCCTCCATTTCTTTCTTCCTGGAGAGAAAGAGAAGGGAATGGAGGAAGAGGCCCACGATTTGTTCCAGTGATTAATGTACAGAGAGTAATCAATCTCTCCCTCACCCAATTTCGTTGTTGACTTTTTTATTTGAAGCACAAACTATGGTTTACAGCCTTTGTTCTTGGGTTTGTCATATGTGTGGTGGGAGGTTCCAAACAGCAAATCCCAGAAAGGCTCTCTTAATATGATGATGAAAAGTATTCAATCAACGCAAATTAGAGAATTTAGTCTTCCCGTTTTTCTTCCTTATTTTATTCATTTGTCCACACTTGAAGGGGCCTTTCATTCATTTCTGATTTTCAAATGTGTTGACATGATGCCCGCTGTGAGCCTGTTATCAATAGCGCCTTCTTGGATGAGAGACCCATGTGTAAGCTGGTGTGCCATGGACATATCACAGTATCTCCTGAGCCTTAGGTGGTCTTCAGCCACCCATAGTTTGTGAAAATTCAGTCAGATAATCCATAATACACAGTAGTACTCAACAAAGTTACTACATGCTATAAACAGAAAAGAATGGATTATGAAATCAATTTCCATTTCCTTGTTTCTAAGGAATTGGGGGTCACCCTTGATTCTCTAGCATGGTCCTTTGGGTCTCCAATCTCATGTCCTAGGAACCATGTGTCTTTAGGATATCTGCATTTTGCTTCAGAGACCGCAATTCACTCTAGGAAGGACCTCGCCTTTTTATGATGGGTGGTGTTCTCCACATGTTCATGGATTGCCATCTCTAGAGGTTGTTTCTTCTGTCCAGTATGCTCTGTAGGGTGCTGGGTCCACCTTTGGACCAACACTCATGCTTCCTCTGCTGGGGTCAGAATCTGGCACATGGTGGAGTGAGCTGTGAAGACAGACTCCAGCCTTAGAACGGCCAGCTGTCTGGGGTCTCTCCATCCAGCTTCACATCTCCTGGAAACACACTAAATATGCACCCACTTAGAGAGACTTTGGTTTAATGGTTTCCTGTTCTGTCTTGAATGCTGGTTTACACCTTTACCTACTTCATTACAGTCTCAGTCTCAAAGTGCTGAGATACCAGGATTTCCACTGAGGTGACCGAGCTGCTGGGTTTCTAGGGCTCCGTCTGTGCTTGTATTTCTGAGCTGTCCCACAGGCACTGCCAGCGGCCACCGTGCACCCACTTTCAAGGTCAGGAGGAACTGCAAAATGCCATAAGCTACAGCTCCTTCCGAGAGATTCATAAACCATCCATGTGATTTATTAAAAATGACTGTATCCTAAGGTAAGAAGAAATCTATTTCACGACGACTTGATGTAACAGGAATTGATTTGACCATGGGATCCCTTGGTCACTAGGCGTTGTTAAGGACTCTCAGCATGGCACCAGAGTTCCAGGGAACACCTTTTGTGAGACGCTGATGCATAGGGCACAGCTCTTCGTTTCAGATGCTTTTAGAAACATTGTGCTTTTGAAGTCACTACAAAAGGACAATCTGCTTCACCCCCTGGAATGCACGTAAGATGGGTAAATTTAGATCCTAAGTGGTTTACACAGTCCCTGATAAAGCTGAAGAGCATGCAAACTACCCCATATCTGTAGCGTTAGCCCTGTTGTAGAAGATATTAAGCTGTGGGTGAGCAATTAAGTAATTTAATAAAATCTGAAAGCAGAATGGATAGTACAGGGCTAGCGACCAAAATTTAATTCGCCCACCGTAGCATTATTTCTGTGACAATGACAGCATGGTGTACTCTTGGAATAAAGCCATGTACCATCCCTTAGCACTACCTGGATTTGGAGAATGAATCTCTAAAGGAAGTGAGCTACCCAGATAGGCAGAAAGGGTGACTATGGTCCTGGTCAGAGAACCATTTGTATGTTCAGAAACAGCACTTATCTGTGTCTTTAGGAATATCTAAATTCCAAGAGGCCCATGTGACTTTGCGCCTATTAGAGTGATAAATCTAAACTAATAATTTGCTCATTCTAAACTCAACTATTGCTTTTAAAGACAGTATTTTTCTACAATGAAAGGGAAATTTGTAGAGAATGAGGTATTCAGGTCTGGGCACTGCCTGATGATGGGTTTCAGGAAGATGAGATTCAGGCCCCCGCTCTTCTTCCTCAGGTATCTTACTCCTGTTCCTTCTCTGCTTCATCCATTTACCTTTTCTCCAATTCCCACAATCTTTTTTTAAATTGTATTTTGTGTATATAAGTATTTTTCTGCATGCATATGTATGTAGTGCCTCCAGAGGCCGGGAGAGGGCGTCAGATCCTCTGGGTGTGGCATTAACAGACTGTTGGTTTGTATGTTATATATCTCTATCCCTAGATTCATGTAAAAGTTTCTCAGATGAAAAGGGGTCATAAGCAAAAACTATGTGGAGACTTGTTCCATCTATGAACAATATTATCAGGTGGGCACCTTAACTGAGTTTGGGTGATCTGATTTGTCCCTGAAAAGTTTTTTCATAATTAAATGATAGTTTGTTAGGAGACTTTCTGGGATGTGGTGAAATCCACAGAGTGCCCAGCTGAGCTAAGGAAATTCTCAGCTGTGTTCTGCAACGCCCAGGAAAGACGGTAACTGGACTCATCATCTCAGAGACTGGTCAGCATTGCTGTTTGCATAATTCGCCTTGACTGTTGGAGATAAACAAGCATGGCTTATGAATTCTTCTCTATGGATGCAATTAATAAATGGTCATGCTGACTGAGGTCCAGGCAGGCAGGATCACGAAGACAAGCTGCAAAAGGAATGTGGGTCCCAGCTATGATCTTCAGCTTATACTCCTTCAGTGACGAAGACCCTGATGTCACTCTCCCAGGTTCTCTGGCTTCACAGGACTTCTGGGAGTCGCAGTTTTAGTGCCATTTGCCTGCCTTCTGCCTTGGTGTGAACCATGGCCAAGAGTTCCGGAAGTTTTAGGCCTTGCCCTATTTTGAACCATTGATTTTTAAGTTGGCATACAGAGCATTGGGCTCCATTATGGTCTTTCCATATGCATGTCGTTATACTTTGTTCTTATTCGGTCCCTCTTTACCGTCTTCCCCATCCCTGCCGGCCTCTTGCTGGCCCTTCCCTTTCCCCAAATCGTCTCTCCTTCTGCTTTCAGGGATTTAAAAAAATAGTATTGGACCTAGCACTTGGAAGGCAGAGGCAGGCAGATCTCTGTGAGTTCGAGACCAGCCTGGTCTACAGAGCTATTTCCGGGACAGCCAGGGCTGCACAGAGAAACCCTATCTTGAAAAACAAAAAACAAACAAAAAACAGTACTGGTGCTGACTTTGTCTTAACTAATCCTTCTGTTCTCTTTGATTGGCAGACTTAGAAAGCCAGTACGGGTGTCAGCAGCAGAGAGCCATGCCTCCTGGGGTATAGCCCAGCTCCTTCAGGTGACCTGCTCACAGCCTGCTGAAGCCTGGCCTCTCCAGGAACTTTGCCACCTTGGCCCGGGAGTGGGGTTGTGCCCTTCCTCATTAAAATCCACATGTCTTGCATTCTAGTCTCTGGCCCCGCAGAGGACCGCTGCTTCCGACTCCCCTGAAGGTAGATTTATTTTCCGTAGAAGTTTTCTGCCTGAGGAATTAAGTGACAGGCCCTGTGCTCCATTCCTCCCCCCCCCCAACCCCCCGAGACTCAGCCCTGTGGACAGTCAGTCCATCAGAGAATCCAGGCACCGACTCCCCCTTGAGACACATCTGTCCTCATATGAAAAGAGCGGCTGTCAATCTTCTGACTGGTTGTCGGTGACCTATATATAATGCCTGATTCCAGCACAGAGCCGGCTTCTATCCTTACCCAAAGACCCCAGGTAGAAATAATAAGATTTGCATCTGTGAACGCTCAGCCAGTGATGGCTTCATGATTATCAATTCAGGCATCGATAAAACGGGGAAAACCGCTCGCATGTGGGGGCAAACAGCTGTCAGAGTGGATTAATTTTGCAGATATTGAAGAAAGTGATCATCGCATATACATGCACAGCAGCATGTGTGACATGGCTTTGAAACAGGTCTGTGCCTACCTCTCTGTGCTAAAGAATAAAAGATGAATCAAGCCACTTATACCTGTCTTCACTTACACCTTTCATCTGCAGAGCCTTTTCATCTCGTTCTTATCTCCTCCTCCCACTCTATGCATACTGAATACAAAATGACGTGTTTCCAATGAAGTTCCTAACACAACTGTAAATTAGCTACACTGGGACAGCATGGTAGGCAAAAAGCAAGTGTAAGTATATTCTCTAACCTGTGACATTACAAAGAGCATGCAAATCATATGTGTGTGAGTGGAAATGAAAGTCCTTCTCGGGGAAAATGGAGTTCGAATTGGCCTGTGCATGGTGGCTGAATGCTTCTCTCTCTCTCCTCATTTTCCTGGAAACACATTAAGCATTCCCAAGCAGGTGGCTGTGTAAAAGACGACATAGAACAGGACATGGAGTGGGCCTTTAGGTCTGCTCAACACTGAGACAGCTTCCCAGCCACCTTTTTCCATTCTGAGATGGAGAACAGCTTGCTGGATCTCTCTTGGTCAGCAACCTGGGGTGATTGAAGCGCTCTTTGCTCTTCAAACTTGGTAATGCTTTAGGCATAACTCAGGGGAACAGACAGAACCAGCAGCCAGACACAATCTATAGGAAACTGGCAATCAACTATTCTTCTAGATTTCTAGTTAGAAGCAAATTTTCAATTGCCTTTTAAATGTGGGTTACATGGAAGAAGTACAGTCTTTACAGAATGATTTACAAAGGTCAAGAGACACAGTGATTTTACTTTAAATAAGATTGAACTTTAAATAAGAATACTTTTTGTCTTGTACAATTTTGTTTAGGCTAGCACAAGGTATATCTCCTAGAACAGTGGTTCTCAACCTTCCTCATACTGCAACCCTCTAATACTTTTCCTCATGTTGTGGTGACCCCCAACCATATAAAATTATTTTCGTTGCTACTTCATAACTAGAATTTTGCTACTGCTATGAATCGTAATGTAAATATGTGATATGCAGGATATCTGATATTTGACCCTGTGAAAGGGCCATTCAACCTCCCCAAAAGGTCTCTACCCACAGGTTGAGAACTGCTGTTCTAGAAAAATCTCTGTTCCCTTCTGACCTGTAGAAATCTTCAGGGTTCTGGATTTAGAGACTACTACCTACCTGCTTCTTTCAAATAAAAAGAGCCATGCAAATGTTCAGAGAAAATCACTCCCCAGAACTGAACCTCTGTGAGAAACTGTACCAGCAAAAAGTCACCTCTTGGAATTCTGAGGAGAGATTCTGAAGTGAGGTCACTAATCAATTATCTCCAGTTGAGCAATTTGACAATCCTCGGTGTGGTGGTTTGAGTAGGAATGGCTGCCACAGATTTGAATGCTTGGGCACTGGGGAGTGGCACTCTTTAGGATTAGGAGGTGTGGCCTTGTTGGAGGAGGTGTGGCCTTGTTGGAGGAGGTGTGGCCTTGTTGGAGGAGGTGTGGCCTTGTTGGAGGAGGTGTGGCTTTGTTGGAGGAGGTGTGGCCTTGTTGGAGGAGGTGTGTCCCTGGAGGTTCACTTAGGGGTTTCAAATGCCCAAGCCAAGCCCAGTGTCTCTGCTCGTCCTGCTGCCCAATGATCCAGATGTGGAACTCTCAGCTCCTTCTCCAGCACCATGTCTGCCTGCATGCCACAATGCTCCCATCCATGATGACAATGGACTAAACATCTGAAACTGTAAGCCAACCCCAATTAAATATTTTCCTTTATAAGAGTTGCGATGGTCATGGTGTCTCTTCGCAGCAATAGAACTAAGACACCCAGTTTCAAGATAGTGATTATTTGTATTTTATTGAAATTCCAATAATAAAAAAATAATCTCTATTCCAGGACTAGGATAATTCTCAGCTGGTTGTCACAATTCAGTTAGCACCAGACAGAAAATCCTAAAATGCTGTGCAATCCTGAAAACATTTTATATTTAAGATATATTTTGGAGAGTTGGTATAGTGTATTGCATGATTCTAGCCTGTATGAAGCAGAGGCAGGAGGATTATGAGTTCAAGGGCAGTCTGGCCTACATAAGAAAATCCTATCTAACAAAACAAACAAAACCTCATTTTTAACTCTTTTGAAAATAAAAATAATTAGATTCCTACATTCTATTTTATCAAGCAGTCTGGGGGAGATTTTCTTAACATCCCCATCACCATCAATACTGCTATTATCAATTGAAGTTCATTCAGTAAAGTATGAGTCCTGCTGATATGTTATAAGAATACACATACACACGCGCCGGGCGGTGGTGGCGCACGCCTTTAATCCCAGCACTTGGGAGGCAGAGCCAGGTGGATCTCTGTGAGTTCGAGGCCAGCCTGGACTACCAAGTGAGTCCCAGGAAAGGGGCAAAGGTACACAGAGAAACCCTTTCTCGAAAAACCAAAAAAAAAAAAAAAAAAAAAGAATACACATACATATTGCTTTAAAAATAAACTTCTATTTTTAAATTTCAGAAACATAGGCATCTCATTAAGTCTTCTTTTATCCTTGGATATGTGGGTAATGTGACTTTGAGATCTTTAAAGGGTATGCTTTGGAAGATTTATCACAGAAGTCCTCATGAACTGTAGGTGAAGAGAAAATAAGTGAAAACAGGAGAAGGAACAGTGGATGTTATCTTTGGTCAGTGATCTGTCCTTGAGAAAACAATCCCATGAGGCAGCTTACTGTCTTGTACACCACGGCCACCAAATGCTCAGGGCCTTTTGTTCTGTTACCAGTCCAATGATATCCTTTTTAAATGCCTTTGCATTTAGAAAAATTAGACAAAAAGAGGTTTAACCAACAGCAGATATATGTAGTGTGCAACCTATGGGGTCAATTTCTTATTGGAGGGCTGAAAATAAATATTGAAATGTGGTGGGGGTGCTTTCTGCAGAGAGGATACTTCCGGTGTGCCTAGCGGCCTCCTAGGACCTGCTCTGAAGCAGAGAGGATTATTGTACATGGTACTGAGCTGAACCTGCATGCCAAGAACTGGACACAGCAGGGGAAGGGTGCAGTCACGAGGTGGGGGTAATGTAGTTCTCACGTTTCCCGCTCTCTTCACACATCATCTGTGTCTGCAGAGTCAGCAATTCCGAGACACAAACGCCCCAACGTGCCTGTGTGCTGATCTTAGCAGTAAAAATCTTTACTTATTTATAAGTACACTTCGTACCTCTATTCTCATCTAAGGATCCCGAATAGCTTCCTGGGCAGAGAGGCGTGATTAATCCCACTTTACATGATTGGGTCAAAGTTTGCCAGAAGCCATCATCTTTCCCTATGCATTTCCAAGTTAAATTTTTCTGCATGGAAAAATACGCCTTGAAAAGAATTTTTCTTGAGAGGTAATACTAAGACCAAGCACACAGAATCTCTTTCCTGCCTTTTGCTTGAGTAACTTAGAGACTTTTAAGCAGCATAGGCACAAGTCCTGAGCAGTTATGTTAATGGAACCCCATCTCTGAATGTAGGTTTCATTTATTCCTTGCATGGGAATGTTTAATAAAATAGAGTATCCTGTGATGGTCTTGTACCATATGTACAGAGCTGATGAAACAGGGTGACATTTCCTCTTTCCTTTTCAAATAGACTTCAGCTAGCCAGCAATGAGGAAACCCGTGTGCCTATGGAGACAGACTTCAGAATGTAGGACCTACCTTCCATATTAGACTTTTATCTCTCTGACAGAGCCCCTGGAGTAACAACCTCTAAAAAAAAAGATGCTTTATTTGGATTCATGTTTTCAGAACTATCTGCCTGTAGTCCTTGGCTCTGTTGAGCCGAACATTGTAGTAGTGGGAGCCTGTGGCTGAGATGCTTCTTTCAAGGTGGACAGAAAGCAGAGGGAGACAGCTGCACCTGCACCAGCTAGCATCCCCCTTCTGCCTTTTATCCCATTCAGGGATCCACACCATGAGTGGGTTCTGCTCCAATTCAGGGTGCACTTCCACAGTCCCTGTTCCTAAGATAATCCTCTCCAGTTTCTAGAGAGTTTCACCCTCATAGACACACCTCTGAGGCATGCTTTACTCATCTTGGGTACCTCTCACTCTAATGAAGCAGACCAGATTGACTACCAGCCCTCATAGACTTTAGAGCAGGTGACTGGAAAGGAACAATTTGGGTCTATACCAGGTCAGGCCGGTGACCTCAAGAGAGAAGGGAGGTAATGGAAACTTCCTGGCAAAGCAAGAAATCGACACCAAAAGAGGGATGTGTCAATCATCTTTCACTGTAACAGATATCTGGGACAAGCAACTTTGGGGAGCCAATGTCTATTTTGGATCACAGCCCACAGTCAGCGCATTCCTCCTGGATCTGTGGTGAGGCGGCACACCATGGCCTGAAGCACATGGTAGAGGCCTCCTCTCATGGCCAGAAAAGAGAGAGGACAGGGGAAATTTGAGTGCCACGCTACCCTTTAAGGGCCCCTGTCTCTGATTTTGAGAGAAGAAAAAGAGTTTAGGAGAGAGCAAAGTGGTTTCCCATTGGCAAAGGATGCATCGGTTGCTAATTCTAAGTTACACTAAGAAGGTAATGATCTCATTCGCTCAGAGCCAAGGTGAGGTCAAATGTTCCAGCCAGGGGAATGCACACTGCTTAAGGTCCATTATAGTTCATGCACCTTTTACAATTTTTATTTCACATAGTTCAAACACAAGTGCCATTGAGCTTATAGGTGTCTATTTCAAGCTCCCTGATTTCCTGATGCCCCGTCTGACAGCTGAGTTAATGAATTTTTTCTAAGCAACTGCATGAAACAGCAAGAAGATCCCTGAACTTAGAGATAGAACTGGTTTGGGGTGACTGCTGTCGACCAGCTGTGCTACTTTTATGACTCATATGAAGTCACCAAGTCACATAGAATTCGGGGAAAACGGAAAATACATATGAAAGCATTTGTATCAGCTGTCAAGCAAGAAACAATTCTCTCTCTACACTAAAGGTTATTTTAATTAACAGTAAGCTGACCTTGGCACTGAGCTGAATGCTTAATAAGTCAAATATAGACTCTACAGATTGGAGTATC